ATCTATCTATCTATCTATCTATCTATCTATCTATCTATCTATCTATCTATCTATCTATCTATCTATCTATCTATCTATCTATCTATCTATCTATCTATCTATATCACTGCCCCCTCTAAAATACATTGTTACAGAATAGAAAAAGACTTGAATGCGCATAGGAAAAATGTACTTTAATTTTTAAACTACAACTTTCGAGTATATTTCCAATAATGTCCGATCAAAACATCAGTTATATGAATGAACAAATAATCCAGTTATGCAAAGCACGTCAGTTTATTCAAATCTAGTTAAAGCAACCAGGACCCGTTTCGTTTCTTTGTATTTGTGACATTTCCGAACATCCCCTGAAGGCAGCAGTGGTCGACACGCCTTTGAAGAAAACCGGAAACTAGTTGAAAAAAAGATAGTTAGCCAGCTAGCTCTAAAGAAGGGATTTGTTTAAGTTGTACTATTTATCACGTCAAACCCTTCCAAACCTCCACAATGTCCGGGGCATCCAACGTCGTAGCGATGAAGAAAATTGTCCAACAGTTACGGCTTGAAGCCAGTATGAACAGAGTTAAGGTAACTGCCCCAGTCGCCTCGGTTCTCTTTAAGGGCGTTTCTTTCGGGATTGTAACGGGAGTTTTTTTTTTCTACGCATACGTTTCATTAGAAAGTGAACAGGCTGTCCAAGGCCGGTCGGCACTGTCTTTAAGTTTCCATGGCTCGGTTGTGTCCAACAGGTGTCCCAGGCCGCCGCGGACCTCCAGCAGTTCTGCCTGCAGAACGCCCAGCAGGACCCCCTCCTCACCGGCATGTCGTCCAGCAACAACCCGTTCAGACCGCAGAAGGTCTGCTCCTTCCTATAGCCCCGCCGCCGTGAGTACCGGGGCAGCCACAACTCCCCAAAAAACCCTTTATTCCACCATATTTTATCAGCGAAACGGAGGTGATGGCTCATTAGTTCACTTCAGTCTTTTCATATCTGACTCTGAAACTAAAAACAGTTCCCACTCCTACTCAGATTTCACCTGAAAGTATGTTGGAAGTTCATTTACAATACCCATAAAAAAAATAGAAAAAACTACAATCCACAACAAGTTTTAACCCTGAAGTTGTTGTTGAAGGTGACGTCATGTCTATTGTTTTGCCAGTAACTGACTGTCTTTTTTTCCTCCAGGTTTTGGACCCTTTACTGTCCAAGTGGGCTGCAGGATCCTGCATTGTGTACTGGAATCCCCTCAGGATCGTTAGGGAATTTGGGCCAAATGACTAATATAAGCCTTTTTATTTTATGTCTCTTTTTTTAGATTTGTTTTGATAACTTTTACCTTTTTGTGACCTTTTTTTTGTAAAACCTCAAATGTTTCCTGCTGCTTGTGTAGCACAAGACATGTCTTAACTCCTAACTCCTATGAACATGCGTGCCTTTTTTGAAATGTACGTTTTTACTGCCAGATTAGCAATAAATGATATTTCCAAAGTGGAAACGTGTTGTGCCATCCAAACTCCATATTTAATTTGAGTTTTTCTATAGTAGCATTAACAAGCTAATCCCAATTAAATGGAACAGATGCTTTAAACTCCTTTGGGTTCCTCACATGAAGCCCTTTCAACACGACTCCCCACTCCTCCAGCTCTGGGTTTAATAAAGGGCCAGAAACACGCAGGAGAGGAGACTAAAACTAGACATCAGCCTACATTAATTTTAACCTTTAGGTTCCTGCTGAGTTCAACATAAAGGGTGGAGCGAGAGGATCACTGTGGACATATATTTATGTAAAGACGTTTCCAGAAGAAAATGTAAAATGTATCATCTCTAATCCAGTAAAGGTTTAAAAAAAAAAAAACATTGAAAAAAGTAAATGCTTCCAGAGATTTTCATTTCAGGAAGTGAATATGTGCAAGTCCACAACGAATAGATGGATACTGGATGACAACAAGGAAGGGTTTTAGAGCTGGAACTTCCGTCTGCAGGCATCCATCTCGTGGCGCTGAAAACAGAAAATCGATTTGGCATTTTAAGTCTGATTATATAGCTCCTTTTTTTCTTAGAAATGCTCTTGATAATTACACGTAGAAAATACAGTCAATGACAAGTTGTAAAAAGGGCTTTAAAATGCTCTGTTAGCAACCCGCTCACCTTCAGCACCCATTCGTACTCTCCAAACTTGGAGTCGAAGGTGCCTTTCTGTAGAGATCTGAGTTTCAGGGTGAAGCGTGGTCCCAGCTCCTGAATCCCAACTTTCTTCTCATTTTTGAAGATATACCTTTTGGAAATGACAACATGTTTAGTTTATTTAGCCCTTTTTAAAGCACAGGCTTGTGGGGCTTTGCAGCAGCAACAATCAATAAAAGCAGAGGGGAGACCGTCTCTGTCCAGAACTCACCTGTGGAATCTGAAAAAGATGAAGTCTCTCTGGTTGTGGAAGGTGACCACCTGCCGGCCCACGAACTGCGGGTTTTGGGGGAAGAGAGCCGCAAAGAGCCGGCCGATGGAGTGCCCCAGACGGGTGGAGAAGTTATTGAGAATCACCTCGGGAGAGTGCTCGGACGGCTCCTTACCCCGTCTCTGCAGAGAGAAAAAACGGGGCCGTGACCAAAGAGCTGGACTCTTCCCTGCCAGCGCATCGCCCCGTCAGCGGGGAGCTCTCCACGAAACCCACGAAGGCGGAACTCACCTTTATCTCTTTGCGTAGTCGAACATTGCTGACTTTGAAGTGCGCAGTCGGCCCGTCGGGAAGGTGACAGAGAACCAGACCGTCTTAAAGGGCCGGTTAAGGTGGCTGACATTCGAAAACGGTTCAAACGGGCCGTCATTTCCACAACGTTTCACCTTCAAAGATGCGGTTTTCGACCGGTGCGAGAAACATTTTTTAACGGTGTGAGGATACTGGGCACTTGGCGGTCCTCGTTGACGACCATGAGGTAGGTGAAGTCCCTGGCCACGCACTGTGGGATGATCCTCTTCAGGGCCAGGCCCTTCCTGTAGTACACGTGGGCGTTGGGGATGACGGTGGCCAGCTGCTCGCAGAACCTCACCGTCCTCTGCAAGACACAGATCTCAGAGGGGCCCCTGGGTTGAACGGCCCGGGCTCTCACGGCTCAGCGGCGCCGGGAAAACGTGGGCAGGCCAGCAGCCGCTCACCCCTCGGGGCCTGTCCGACGTGGTGATGAGCACTTTGGGGTTGGTCAGTCCGTTGAAGTAGGCAGAGAATTCGTCAGTTCCCTCGTCGAACGCAACCTGGGTGCCGAACAAAAACAAAAACGGGAAACTATTTAAGTTAAACTGCAAATCAGAGGGGATGATCCAAGTAAACTCTCCCGACAGGAGCCCGCACCTCCTCGTCTTCTGGGTCCACTGTTGTCTCGTCATACACTCGCTGGTTCTCTATGGTCTTGGGGACTTCCTTCGGTGGTGCCTTCATTGGAGACAAAATGAGCGATAGCATGAATTTTGATCGAATAATTAAAAAAACGAGTTAAACACTTTAAAAAATGGACAGATATTGGAAGATGTGGAACAGGAAAAAGACTCACTTTGTCACCCAGGGCTTCTCTTTCTTTCTTTTTCTTTTTTTTCAGCTGCAGCTTTTGCTGAAAGGCAAACGAGAGACATCGAAAAGCAGTTTTTTGCCACAACGCTGTTATATTAGGGGATTGTTGCTATCCAGTAATATCATTTGAAACCATAAACAGACAGATTGATGGATGTTATGGCCTGTCACCTGAACGTAGATCCTTCAATACGGCTCTTCAATCCAGAATTAGACTGTAGCCATTTTTATTTACCTGTCTTTTCTCCTGCTTGAATTTCATGAACATGACATGTCTTCGCTGTTTGTTCTTGATTTCGGAAACACTGAAGGTGGGGGGGAACGCAGACGCCGAGTCGCCCTTCTGCATCTTCTCCTCCTCTTTCTCCTCCACTTTGCTGCTCTCTCCGTCTCCATTCGGACTCACACTCTTCTTCTTTGGGTTCTTGCTCTTCTTCTTCTTACCTTGAACTTCGTGAGTCGGCGGGACCTCCGTAAAGTCCATCTCGTCTAAGCTGTGTGTTTTGGGTTGTTTTCTCACGTGTGTGTGTGTGTGTGGGTGCCTCGGGGTGCCTGTCCGGTTGAGTTCAGTTCCGGTTGGGAGCTGTGGGAGGCCGGCCACAAAAGAGTGCGACCCCTAGCGGCGAGGAGGGTCAACGGCCACTAGCGGTGGCGCGCCTTGTCCATTCGCCTCAGAAAAAAAAGGAGCTCCTGCTCAGATTTCTGCTTGACGCTTTTTGTGTACATGTTTGCAGCTTTTAACCCGTGTACGCTTGGCTTTCCTCCCCAAAAACATATGTATATTTGGTCAATCAGTAGCTCAGAAATGAACTTTGGCATGTGAGTTAACTGTTGGGTTAAAGTATAAAAGGATTGAAGGGATTCTCTGAATTTGATTATCCATTTAAACTATACTTTTTGTCATTGCTGGTTAAAGTAAAGCTTTGGTAGTTGTAGTGTGTTCTTTGTGAGTCTTATTGGTGATTGTTAAACAACAAGGTACAAATTCCTATTTGCTCATGTTTTTAATTGAAACAAATATTTGAATAACTTGTAACTAATTTAAAAGTGTTTCATATTGCAAATTGTATTTAGATAAATGCCAAACACCATCCTTAGTGTGCAAAATCAGTTGAGACATTTGTCCAGAGCAGAACGGACTCAGCTGTGGAAAACATCAGAATGTGAAACTAAATTTGTACACACAAAAAGTGATTGTGGAACCCACGAGTGGTGGTTGGTATTATTATGGCATCTCTCGTTTCCTCTTTTTAAGTTGAGGAGTCTTTGCATTTGAATAAGAGAAACCATGCTTATATTAGTAATTTTGAATCCTATAGTGAATGTATGGAGCAGTTTTACCTTAATGGGACCTATATAAATGTGAACAAATCGGTCTGGCCACAAGGTGACACTGTTTACGCCAGGACGATGCTTTCTATTCAAATCTCTGAAAACTTGTAAAGTAAACTTTAAACTTAATATTTTGATTTAATATAAAAACAACAAACAAATGATAGTAACAATAACAAAATGTACCCACTGAAAAATCAGTGTCTTGAATCTGCAATAATTGTTTTTGTTTTGCAGCTCTCATGAATTCATGGTTTGAACTTTCACCTGAACAACACAGAAATCAAAACAAAACAGCACAATGTACTTTTTAATAATTTTATTTTAAACAGGACTATAAAAACGGTAAGTGTGGTATTTATTTACCAGTGAAACACAATCATTTCTGATGTTTGCCACATGATTTTAGGAATACCAAATCATAGATCCATCTACATGTAGATTGGGTTACAGCATACAACTGTTTTCTGCTGATATAATTGGGATTAAAATAGATCTTATTGGGTATCAAATTGTACATGCACAATTGTAATTATCATTAGTATTATTGTTGCACTTATTTGCATCCAATTTAGCTTTCAAAGAAACTGATGGGTGTATTTTATGTACTGCTGCTGGTGATATGGAGGTGAAAAATAGTCGACAGTAAGTACGTTCTTTGGTCCCACATGTTCCAGATCACAACCTGAGCATCCAGAAATTTCTTATCTTGCTCAGCAGCTGATGTACAGGTCCACCACCCGTCTGAAAGCCTTGTAGATCACCGGGTTGTGGGAGCAGATGAGCCCCCCGCCACGCCACAGCTGGGCCCTCTCCCTGTTTAGATCCCCCAGGCAGGTCACCTGGTCCTCGTGAAGCCACGCCACGCACCACTTTGAGTGGTCATGATGTGAGCTGAACCGGACGGATGTTGGAAGCTGAATCCTCCGGATGTTCATGGCGTGCTTGGGCAGCGAGCAGTTGGAGGGCAGCTCATGGCCTTGCGTCTGCCAAGACTCCACCAGTAGGTCGGCATTCAGGGCCTGAGCCGCCCAGCCCGTGTAGATATCTGAGGAGATTTACATGAACATGTTAACTCAGCTGCACAATGATTTAAAGAGACAATCAGAACCACAATTGATCAAATATCACTTGAATCTTATAGAACGCTTGATTAGTGTTGAGGTATTTTGAATAATATAGAAGCGAGCTACAAAAACTTTGACTGAACAAATGCTGCTTGTTTAAGTACATCTTTCAAAAATAAATGTCCTCAAGAACTGTAGTTGTGCCCAAATTACATGTCTAAATCATTGTTGGTCTGTATGTTATGATAAGTTTCTGAGTTAAACAAAAGAAACAAACGCTAAAAGGCATTTAGGAGAAATGTTGCTGGGGAGTTAAATGACTAGAAATCAAAGAAAAACAACTCACCATCCACAAAGTGTTCAGATTTGACAAAACTGACAAACTTTTCACCCTGGAGAGAAAAAAGCTGTTCCACCTTCCTGTTGGAGGCCAGCGTGGGTTTGGAGCCCTCGCACATCTGCGCCAGCTGTGGCAGATCGGCCATGAACGCAGAGGGGACAGAGCAGTTATAGAAACGTGGGTACAGATAGGCCAACTGCGTCACTGCAAGACAGCAGAGGGAGAATAGATGCCATTTGTTAGAGAATACAAACAAAATCTTTAGACCCAGAAAGAACATTGGAGCTTCTTTTTCATTTTCCTGAAATAAAAATACCGTATATGTCAATTTGGGGCATGATCTGAATCTATAGCTGGCATTTAGAAATGATTTTTATTCAGAAAGAAATAACAGGAATGATGTAATCCAGGGGTTTATGAAAATGCAAGTGTCAGCAGTCCAGCTTACAAAGACCTCTGAGTCAGTGACAGAAAAATCTAATCAGTGGGAAAGAAAGAATTTTGATGTCCCAAAAAACAGGCACGATTATTCAACATCAGCATGTTGAATATATGTTTATTTAATTGGCAACAGACAATTAGAAAAACCTATTTATCTATTGTTTCCATTTGTGTTTTATATGGTTTGCTAATAGAAAATAAGGACCATGCTTTTCTTTACAGAACTTTAATTCAATGATCATTTCAGCATCTTTAATGGCTGGACTGCTGGACTCTCACAATGCGCCTGAGCCAGACTCATGCTGCTCAAAGCCACCTGGTGATGTTTTTTGACCGGATTTTGCAGGCCTTGACATGTGAAAGCTGTCACACACAATCAGAAAAGGGACATCAGAGGGCTGCGTACGTTTAGGGTCACGACCAAGGCTGCTGATGACTTTACATAAGACCATTTCACTGACTTAGTCTTTTGTTGCTTTCAGTAGATTTTGCGGCGCAAGTAGGTCAAGCCTGGCCGTGTCCCGGGCGTTCACTCACCTACACGGAGCAACTGTGCATACTGGTAGGTCACACACAGGGCGGTTTGGCCGTTAAGCTTGCCAGAGGAGGGGTACTGGTAGCCCCTCTCAGGGAATGAGGGGAAATGGGGAATGCTGTGTGACATCCAGAAACCTTGAGAGTGGTCAAAGAGAAGAACCCCTGCAGGATGTGCACAGACAACCCTTTATGCACAAAAGTGTGTGTAGGGAAAACGGACAAACACACATGCAAAACAGCACGGATGCTCCCAGATATTTCCAAACTCTGTGTCAGAGCGGTTGCTAACTCTAAAGTCAACAAAAATTATCAGGCTGATGCTCTTTGGTCGGTTCCTCCCCCTGACGCCAAAGCCATATTGATCCGCTCTTTTTGCAAAATCATACGGCGGTATAGCATGGCTTCATGTTATGCAGCACATACACACACAAAAAAACTGAACATTTATGTAACTGAAACTACTGCAAAGCGTATTCCACCACATCTTAATCACAAATACAAAAATCTATAGCTCTCACAAGGTCAGTCTTTTATCAATCCTGCTCCTTTCAGAAATCGGCATGTTTTACTGGGAAACCTTCAGATTTGATCTCCACAAAACTAAATGTTAATGTGAAAAAGAGTCAATCTTTTCACCAAATCCTAAATCCACTCACTTTTTCCTAACTGTTAAATCAGAGCTTAACACATGTTGTGTCTTTTTGTTTAAACCCTTTATAAAGAATACACTTTAGGGTATAAAACATTTTTGCCGTGTTGATAAAGATAATTCGATCTAACACAGAAGTGATATTGAATGTACCTTTTGTGTGTCCATATCCTCGGACGTATTTCAGGACTGGTGGTCCATCATTGTAGAGAGCATAGACGGAGCTGTTAGACTAAAAGCAAAAACCTTATTTCAAGAAAACAGAGGGTGCTGGATTTGTTTCTGTTTTTGTTTGAGTTAAAGGATGCAGGGTTAAATTCACAAAATCTTTACAGAGAATGCAATTAATTAAAAAAGAATCTCTCCCAGAAGCAAGGACCCACATGACAATAATCTTACCATGTATGTTTTCCCCATGTATAGCTGATTAAGTGTGTTCCCTATGGCTCCTTGGCTGGAATTAACCATAAATGTACTCATCTGCCAACTCCCTACTGATGAGTCCAGGTACATGTACTCCACCCCACTGCCAACTTCACCGATCCTATACCGGGGCAGTTTGTAGATGATAAACCTGGAAAAGAGAAACACCAATGCAGTAACTTCCGTGGTACGACTGTTGTGCTCTTATTTTGTTTATCAACTCACCAGTCAACCGGTTCACCGACTTCATTTCTACAGGAAATCTCAGTCCCACACACCGTGCAGCACAGCAGCGTGAAGGCAACACTGGACCACGAGCCAAAGTGTGGAACCATCCTCGTCCACTACAGTCGATGAGAACACGGCAGAGAATGAAAAACAGGGGCTCTTATGTATGCTTTCTGCCCGGTTAAATGACTTACGGCAAAAAGTGGAAGCAGCACAGCTGCTGGAAATAACAAAACGGGAAGTCATAAGGTGCAATCACATGGCCAGGAGAAACTGGAAGTAGCAGCTGTGCATAGAAGTTGACAAAATGTTTACACATTCCAGGACCTATACAACAACCATTTTTAATTATGGGTATATGTGTTTTACATAACTTCATTTTCTATCAACTTTTGCTCTTTTTTCCCATTTCACTGCCGTTTCTTGGCAGCTTGCCTGGGAAATTGTACTCATGTTCTATTATTAGCAACAGATCTGAAGATTACTGAACTCGAAACCAGAAAAAAAAGAAATCAGACCACATAACTGTAAGAAAGCTGTGACATGAAATTTTCAAGTCTTCAATTTCAGCATTTTTATAAATCTGATTTAATAAGAAACATGTATTAGAAGTGAAACGTAAACAATGGGTTCAGATTTATTTATGTCATTCATCTATCAAACATCGACATAAAATGGTTAAACACAGAAAAAAGGGGGTAAGTTGAAATGAATACTTAAAATTTAAAAATGTTGCCCTGATCAACAGCATTAATAGATCTTCCGAATTCTTGTGTTGAGATTTTTGCACATTACATATCTGAACATTTCATATTATGATTATGATTATGATTTTAGCCATAAACATAACATTTTCAGATGATCCGAATATGATGCATTTTGTTAGGAAACCTAATCACACTGATGAGATTAAAAACAACATTTGCTAAATTCCATCTTTTGCTCCACGGCAGGTAAACACAATGTGACAACAATGAAAATTAATTAATTAGGAGGTTTTAGTTGCACCACTTCTCACACCTCAGACAATCTGATAGTAACAACATAAGCATAGTAACATTTACTCCTTTAAATAACAACTGAAACTCCAGCCTCCATGGAAAAAACAAACAAACAAACAAAAAAACATATGTGAAACAAGTGTTAACAATACCTTAACTATTCAATATAGTTAAATGGTTTTACTCAGTTTTTCTACACTAACCAATTTTGCTTTAACTTTTAACAGACTTTTCTAAAACCTTATGTTTATAAATATGAAGTTATTTGACTTATGGTACTCTTTAGCGTTATGTAATTACAAAGTAATAGAAATTGGAAATACAGTTCTGGTGGAAAAACAGAACAGGTGACCCAAAACTATTCAGCAGTATTTTGTAAATGAAAAGTACTGGAACATCAAATTGCTGCACTTTGAATATGAGAAAATATTGGCTAGAGTGGAAAAAAATGATTGCATACTCATCTTTGTGCACATGCAGCAAGAAAAAATAAATCAATTAGAAATGTTCAATAAGACATATGTGAACATTTCCACTGCAAAGTGTAGTGAGAGCAGAGACATAAGGAGGAGGGCAACAGGTGATAAAAAATAAACTTGGACTGCATATCAGAGACGGAAAATGAAGCACACGTGAAATGGGATGAACTTTAACTGTAAACTCCCAATAACTAGACAGAAAGGTTGCAACACGCTCCACAAAATCCTCCCCTGTTTGCACGGGAAACTCCAGCAGAAGCCCAGAGAACAGACACACAGACAGAAGGTGAAGGAGAGGAGAGCACCATGGCAACCATAGAAGACAAGGTAATGTTTTATTAACTTATAAAGGGACAGATGAATCTTTTTCAAAGCTTGCTATGATTTCATTTTCATATTGGTACAAAGATACTCAGCAGGATTCAGTTGTGGAGTTTACTCCAAATTTGGGGTCAGTGACCAAACGGCTGAACCACAACCTGCAGGTTTAGGAGCTGTGAACCACTACGAAACATGCAAACAGTCAAATAAATCTGTCAGTAAAGATCTAGCATGATATCTGTAATCCTGTATCCTCTACTTTGTCAGTTTTAGAAATATTCACAAAATGCAAACAGACATTTAGAAATGGACAAAACACAACACAAACGCATATAAATAATAATAAATAAATCTGTAAATGTGGCACAGAAGCCCAGAAACCAGCGGGCGATGCTTCACTCCACGATAACCAGAGCAAACGGCTCATTTCCCACAGAACGTGGAGTTTGTGCGAACGGGTTACGGAAAGAACATTGTGAAGGTGCTGGTCATCAGGAGACAGGGCAGCCACCACTACATCATCGAGCTCAAGGCCGACGTGGAGATCACCCTCAAGTCCCGCAAGGACTATCTGACCGGCGACAACTCCGACATCATCCCCACCGACACCATCAAGAACACCGTCCATGCCCTGGCCAAACTCAAAGGGGTAGGTCAGACGTCTGAATCCTGTTTTGTTGGCTTGATGAAGCCGGGGGCTGCTCAGGATACTGTGACTAAACGGCTCAACGACTGAAGTGAGATTTCACCAGCAGAATAGTCTGCTAAAACAGGCAAAAAAACTGGTTTAAAGCAGATTTAAAGCATCTGTAAGGAGGGAATATTTAATCAACATTTGTCCTGCAGAGTTTTTAAATTCACTGGAAAAGTTTGTTTTTTCCCCCCCAAAAAAAGAGCTTCAAGTTGTCATGGAGGTCTGCAAAGATATTCGAGTTTTGGACAGTGAATGCTTTGAGCCGATAGGTTGACAATTGACCTGTGTAACAAAGTATTTTACACCAGGTTTGTCACAGATCAGCAAAAGGGCTTTGTTTACTTCAATGGGCAGAGATCGTTTTGTCACCCGTCTTTAGTCACCTAGCCAGAAGACTGAGAGAAACAGATATCAGGTTAAAACATGAGGGTATTTTCAAAGGGACATTCCTTCTCAAGGGATAACTCTATTTTTCAAAGGGAACTAAAGTCCAGAGGATTAATATACATGTTCATCATCCCGGAGTATTTGGCAAGTCCTGCAGGAGTCATGAAAAAATGAGGAAAGAAAATGGATTTGTTTAACAAGGAGAATCCAACTAGGGCTCTTCTGTTTCAAACCTGTTCAGGTGCGGACCATCGAGCAGTTCTCCATGGACATCTGCAATCATTTCCTGACCTCTTTCAACCATGTTCTGAGAGCTAAGGTCTCTATGGAGGAGGCTCCGTGGAGACGGCTGGAGAAGGTGAGACCCGGGGTCCACTCAAGCTGCTCTTATATTGAAGCAGAATCCTTAAACTGTGTTTTAATTTGATGAATTATTTGGGGTTGACAAAAGAGAAATAATTATCTTTTTCTCCCTCTCAGAACGGGGTAGAACATGTTCATGCATTCATCTACAGCCCGGAAGCTTTTCGTTTCTGTGACGTTGAGCAGAACCTCAATGGTAAATAAATCAACTTAAAATGAATTTGATGCATTCTTTCTTCAGTGTCTGCTCCTCCTATCCAGCGCACGCCCTCCTCTATGTCCCATGCGACACACAGCTACTGACTCCATGTCCTTCACAGGAGCTCCAGTGGTTCACAGCGGGGTGAAAGACATGAAGGTGCTGAAAACCACCCAGTCCGGCTTCGAGGGGTTTTTCAGGGACCGCTTCACCACCCTGCAAGACACCAAGGACAGGTGCTTCTGCACGTCCGTCTATGCCAGGTGGCGGTACAACAAGGTTCAGGACGTGGACTTCAATGCTGCATGGTAATAACCTGATAATTGCATAAGGAACAACACAGCCTTCACAAAACCTTTTAGAACCCGGGAAACTCAGTGGGTTTGCTGCTGCGAAAACACACACAATGCAGCGAACATGTCTTCTTTTAGTAAAAGCATGACACATTCTGAAAGTGAAATGACCACCCTTACAGGAAGACTGTGAAGGAGACGATCATTGAGAGGTTTGCCGGCCCCTATGATCAAGGGGAGTACTCACCGTCTGTGCAGAAGACCCTTTATGAATCGCAGGTTCTGGTCCTGAAGAGGATTCCTGAGGTGATCACAAGCTCCCCATAATCATACTGGAATGTTTGCTTTGACAGGCCCGTTTCCTCATGTAGAAACTGAGCCCGTCTGTCGTATTTTCCTGTATTTTAGCACAAATATCTGAAGTTCATCTGTGCTCACATAAAAACACAAATAGGGCTTCTTCTGGAAAGTAAACGTGTTGTTTTACAGGTGGATGAAATAGAGATCGTCATGCCCAACCAACATTACTTCATCATAGACATGACAAAGATGGGTATTGCCAATCAAAACGAGGTGCGCTCTGCTTTTTTAATCCAATCTTGCAGGTTTCTGGGGTCAAGAAAGGCGTAGTTGACTCACGTGCATTCTCTCCTCAACAGGTGCTTCTTCCTCTGGACAACCCGTCCGGAAACATCACGGGGACCGTGCGCAGGAAACAGCTAGCCCGACTTTGAGGGCACCAAAACACTTCTGCTTCAAGTGTCCACCCGAAGGAGCCATCTTAGCAAAAACCCCTTGGATGCAAAGTGGGCGTTTTTCAAAACATGTATGATGCTTCAGACTATGTCAGGTGGAAATGAAACAAGAGAGAATCGTTGCTGCAAAAAAGTCACAATTTGTTGTTGTTCTTTGGTGAGAAAAGAGCACCGTTTATTGCAAATTTCAAATTCAGATATTCAAAATCCAGTGTTGTGTTGCACATAAACATTGGTCAGACACACTTCAGTACAGTTGTCTGTGTGACAAAGCTGAAAGCACCACAGGTAGGTAAATAATAAGAATATATACACAAATATTCCATATCAAGAGACACAAGCCTAAATAACGTCAGGATTCGGAAACAGAGAGGCTTCTAGTTGGATCCTTGAGTCTGAAAAATTCAAAGGTATCACTGGTACATGCTCGTGTTTGGAACATAAAAACTAAATTTGGAGTTTCTGTATGCATCAGAATAATTTCTGCAGGTTATCAAAGTGTTCAGGTATGACAAAACATACACAGAATTCAATATATCTTCTTCTGTACAAATACTTTTTTTTTTAAAACCCATGATAGGTCAGTTCACTTTGCACACACATACAACACGCCTACATACACGAAGGACGTCTGCGGAGTCTGGACTCCACGCCTCCTTCATCTTAAATAAACACTCACAAAAAAATACAGATCTCAAGCAGCAAAAATAAGAATGGCTGAAAGGGTAAACAGCAGAGTGGGTGCCACGTGCGGACCGTGTGTGTGGGTCCACACTTATAAAAACGTACAGCATTCACATCCTGTTAAGGTGCCACTGTGGGCGGAGGAGTCTTTGTAAAGCAACGGCTGACCTGGGGTCTCCTGACATGATGATTGTCACTGAGGCGAGAGGAGCGACGGCCCGCGGAGCTACGAGGCGTTGCTTTTCAGGTGCTGGGTTTGCAGTGGCTTCACATGGTACTCGTAGATCTTCAGCGCGGGGCCGAGCTTTATCGACAGCCCCGTCAGGACATCATTACGCGTCATCAGGAGCAGGGATTTGCCATCAATTTCCTGTTAAGAGGACACAGAGGTATCGGGTCAGTGATATTGGTTTGTTGGAATAGACTGTCAGGAATATGGCGCTAGTAAAAAAAAAACACTCCGACCTGATCCTGGAAAGCTGTGGCTTGCTCCTCAAACCCTGTTGCTTTGAAGTAATTGACAACATCTGCCACTCCCCAGTTGGAGGGGTCCGGGAGCTGACCGTTCTCCACTGGGCTGAGGTGAGACAGCACACACTGAACTGTGTCAAAATGTTTTAGAGATCTCATATAAAAATGTTAAAATCCTGCATTCATTGTAGAAATTACCTTTTGGTGTCAACTGAGCCATTTGCCTTGTCTTCCATGGCGGCTGCAGTAAAATCACAATTTGTTTAAAAGTACATTTCGCCAACAATAACAACAAAAACTGCTTTAAAACAACTGGGTGTGCTGATGTTTTCCTGAGTTTTTTTATTTTTGTCGAAGAAGGAAAAAATGAGCCAAGCATCAACCACATTAAATAAGATATGATGACTGAATCATTAAAACTGTGTATCATGTGATGGCGAGGTAGATCTTATGCATATTTTCTACATTTCTATTCATATCTGGCCCAGGTAACACTTAACGACTGGAAAAAGTAAACTGATCACATCTTTGCTAGTCAAAAATAATGAAGATGCCTTGACCACAAAGCACTGGATAAAAACAACAGAAAATATGAGTTCTGTGCATTTTGAAAACTTTGCATTTCACAGCTGCAACTGCAAGGGGACTCTAGGTCAGAAAAATGAAACTGATTCAACTGGAGTAGAGGCTTCAAACACCATCTGATTAGATAGGAAGAGTCCAGAATCCTCCATTGTGTCAGATTTACCCTTGTACGTATTTAACTTAATAACTCAGCGGTAAAATATAAACACATTGCACTATAGTTTTGCAGCTTGGGAGTCCTCCTGATCCCGTGTAATCCAAGTTTCGGCGGAAGGAAACTGGTGAATAAAACAAATGAATGAATGAATAAATAAAAAAATCCATTCTTACATTCTGTAACGTCGCAGATATTTTTCATCAGATGTTTTTTCCCGAAGAACTCAGTGTATTTGCAGTTTAAATATCATCATTGTTGATCTTCCAATGTCCGGCTGTCACTGGATATCTTCACTGGGGGAAAAAAACATCGTGCACATAGTGCATTTGTCAATATGGTAAATATGGTCATGTACTATAGAAAAATGACCACCCCAAACTCACGTTGTTAGCTGTATTAAACAGATATAGTTGCGATACAATCATAAATTCAGCGTTGTTGTGATTGTAATAAAATTAAATAAGAGTGAAAATCGACCAAAATTAAGAAATACCGCCATCTTAAGCGACAACAGATAATTATTTGTCCCTTCTTGTTTTTGTTATTTAATAACACTTACGTTAAGCTAACATCGATAGTTAGCTACGCGTGCTAATACCAAAATTAACAGTTACCTTATTTTGGGATATTCTTACTTGACAACAAATGCTATTCCAGTCCATTCACGTCATTCAACAAGAAAAAAGTTTCTGAACCACTAAGATATTTTGGCAATTAATAAAAAGCGATATTTATTCGACAAAATCAAATTATAATGAACTAAAGCCAACTAGCTCCTTCGCTTTTGCTTCCTTCGCCCACGACACCAAGGAATCATGGGAAATGTAGTGAACACTCATTTTAATGCAACCGTTCATCCTTTGACTGTTTGTAGCTCTCAATTTCCAGGACAAAACAAATGAGCCTTTTAAAAAAATGAAATACAAAAAAAGTTTATTTTAATAAAAAGAATTTATTATAGTGACATATCCTTCATTACATAAAATTTGCTACAGCAAAGTATGTTCCCTTGCAAACACAAGTAAAGATGGATGGGGAAAAAAACGTGTCAGCCTTCTAAATGATGTGCAATAATTCCACAAACTAAATACAGACACATTTCAGATTATTGATCCCATACTGGCACGTGTGACTAGCTACAAGAACTCAAACTGATTTCCTTCAGTCAGGAGTGTGAGGTGGCTTGGGAAAGGTGCCATCATTTACATCAACTTCAACAAACGTTACACACATGGAAGAGGGAGAATGGATGATGCTAAAAAGGAGCTGTGGATCTCCAACAAATTTTCTCAGAGGATTTACATACAGGTGGTCTGGACGAAGACATGTAAAATTCCCAGGTGTGATTCAAATTATGTCCAAATCCCATATATTTTGATTATTCAAGCCATACTATCTGTTCATCCATCAAACTCAGAAAACAATTATGAATTCTGGATTGCTTTGGAAAAATTCGACCTCATACAAAAACAAAATCTTAAAAAAAGTTTAAAAAAAAAATCAAAACAATTTGAAACAGGCATTAGAGGTGTGAATGTGCATAATCTAGAAATCTTTTTAATCCTATAAGGGTAAATGAAACAACATTGTACAAATAAATAATCTAATATATTCACTGTTTGTAACACCTTTGAAAATATTTCGAATCTCATTGTATATACTGAGAGTTACACAAGTTAAAACACATGAATGTTATTTCATTAGATACCTCTAAATATAAATAAAGACAGCATAAGAAACATTTGTGCCATTCAAATTAAATTAGGGCAAAATAAAATGTCACATCATTTCCTCAGACTGACAAAATGTTCCAATTCAGGTAAAACATTGATTCTCCAAACATTTTTCACATTTGGTTGTCAAAGATTGTTGAGCTAGAATAAATTGCTTCCCTCCTTGTATGCAAAGACTTGAGCGTCATGTCAATTATTAATGAGACCTTTTGTCAAGTTATGAGGCGTAAAACAGAAAGACTGCCAACAGTGCATTTTTCCTTTTTTTAAAATCAGACTACGTGTGAAATGTAAATCTGTAATTTCTTCACAGCCCTGAGAGACCATCCTGCAGAAATGACCTTAAACTATGAATTCTCTGTGGACGGCAAGCAGAAACGAGCTTCCCTCTAGAGAAGTAAAGAGCAAAAACAGATGATTTACACCATCTGGAATAGAGAAAAGCCAAGAGAAAGACACAGTGGCCTTGAATGTGGGTGCTAAACATTTGATTCTTTAGATACAACGTGTTGAACTGACGAGCTGGAGCGGAGTTTTGAGGCCGGAACAACATTTTAGCAGCAAGGACAGGCAATGTGTGAGAACTAATGGGTTTTGACTGATGCCAAGCGTGGAAGAATCCCTTGTAAAACCTGGGTTTTTCTATGAGGAGGAAAACATGGACTGAAAGTGCAACACTTTAAGAGGAGTGGCTTACATTTATTAAAAAAAAATTGACCATATTGTCTTGGAAAAATCTTCATTTCTGTTCATTAGCACAATCTGACCTTACTTAGCTTTGCAAAGCTGAACCAGAAAATATTGTTCCATCACAGTGTGCCAGTTTGTTTAGAAAACCAAGCGGAGACGGGAAGATGCAGCTGCAGTAAGCAGGAGGGTCGACCATTTAGTTGCCCAGATGAACAAACACTTCAAGGTTAAGATATTTGCATTTTTTTTATGATTATTCCAAAGACATGGTTTGACCTTGCTTTTTATAGAATTGTGTCATGATTGAAGCTCAGAAACTATTTAAAAGCTAACCAAACCCCGCCCTAAAAAAAAAGAGAAAATTAAAAAAAGAAAAAAAAAAGGTGGGAACACCATTAGCTTGTAATGACACTGCTGTACAAACACTGACATGCAAAGTTAAAAATGAAAAACAAAACATATTTCAGCAGATACGTAGCGCACACCCAGTGCTTCGCACAAACGCAGCAGTTTAAAATCAAAACGCAACCAAAGAGGACAAAGTTTGTCCGTGTGAGCAGCACTGCTTTGCATCCATATTACACCCTCCAGATAATCAAACAAGCTGACCTTTCAGCTATTGGAAAACGCCATGTCAACGCACTTGCGTTTATTCCTCGAAATGTACTAGAAACAGTTGATCTGTTGAGTGCAGACATACAGAAATGTCTTCTGATTCCTTGATTGTGAAATAGAGTTATACCTGAAAAATATACCATTTCATACCACCGGTTAAATACCACACCGCAAGTCTGAGGTAAAAAGCAAATGTCCTGTGACCAGATATGGATAAGCGATGCTACAGCGGGTTTGTTTACACAGTGCTGATGCTCTTTTGCTTCCCCTCATCACTTGTCACTGTAAATCCATCTGTTCGAGAATCAAAAGGTGGAGTGCTAAAACTGACAAAACTTGGAAAAGTCAGCAATTGTTTTGTTCCCTCGCTGGACGGTAGCTTTCAATTTTGGTCATGCTTTAAAAAAAAAAAGAGAAAATAAACAAAACAAAGTCTTTCAAAAATTCCTTGAATTCAATGAAAAATCCAATCTATATGTTTGTATGAACATATACATGATTCTGGGTCTTAAGGGGCCCAGAAGGACCCTAATTGGTTGACGTCTTGGTTAATGAATACTGAACTGAACCCTAGAAGACACTCAAGCATGTAACAGACAACAGATAAAAACAAAAAGTATGTATAAAAAGAAAAAAGAAGTCCCTTAATTTCACCTAAGCTTAAATCCCAACGTGTGCAATGCCAGCTAATACAATCACTCTTTGTGCCGCTTGACAATGGGAATAAAACGGGTTCTTCATACTCAAATAAGAACGTAACTAAGGGAAAGGGAGGTGGCAAACGCAGAAAACAAGAGGGAGACAAAGAATGAGGATGTGTACTACTTTGTGTTGCAGCACGAGGGGTGTCTGCATAATGTGCCTGTGTGTAGATCAGTGCTAACTGCACGCAGGATCATGGCAAAGGGACCTCATTCAGCTGTGTGGAATGATGGAACTGGGCTTTTGTTTTGAGCACGTGATAGCCTCAGTTCCACCTTAACCCTCATCGGAGTGCAAATATCCCGAAACACCGGAGCCCCGATGGGACTCTTTCCTTTTCACTAGAAGTCAGCAAACTCTTTTGCACACTTTTCTGTTTGCGACACGCGAATGTCCTCCTCCTCATAGTCGTCAAAGTTGCTTGTGTCTCCTGGTCCTCTGCACTTAGGCAAGAAGGGGGCTTCAACCTGAGGAGGTAGAAGGGTGTAGATGCAGACGCGAGTTAGCAGGCACACCGCGTCTCAAATGCTATCCCTTCATTAGCAATAAAGTAAGGGCCTACCTTTCGCTCATAGATAGCGATCCAGTCTGTTGAGGAGAACCACTTGTGATTCTTAATGTCATTCACGCCATTTTTCAGGTTTCCAAACCTCTTTGTAAGGTCAACCTGGAGTAGGTTCCTCAGAAGGTCCTTCAGGTCGGAGCTAAAGTGAGAGGGGAATCGTACCTAAAAAAAAGAAAAAAGAAAAAGAAAAAAGAAACGATGGGCTATAATCTGCACTGAAGAATGGAACAATAAGCATGTTTCCTCCCTTTTTTCCATGCTATACTTGATACTATCTAGGGAATATATAGCTGTGAAAACATTATCAAGTTTGCCATGAAATACGGAATCATTACATCTCTGCATACCTTGCCAGATACTATCTTTTCGTAAATCTGGATTGGTTGATCAGCAAAAAAGGGGGGGTAACCAGCAGCCATTTCATAGATTAGAACTCCAAGTGCCCACCAGTCCACAGCTTTGTTGTAGCCCTGGAGGACAGAGAGGTGAAACAAAAGCTTAAAATTAAGCTTCAGATTACTACAATAGGAATGATTTACCATCGATGATATTTATCTATGTATTCATATGACATGCAAACATAGAGACAAGGCATATTTATTTGTTTAGCACAATTTTTTGGTGCTAAAGAGTTTTTAACCTTATTTTAAATATATCTGCACATGACTCCTGCTGTCAGTTTCATTTCCTGCTCATGAGAAAGGGGCCGGACCTCCCGCCTCACCTACTCGGCTAAACCGAGGTCATTCAACACTGAAAGGCACTCCACTGTTTGTTCCCCATCTGTAAAAATGTACCGGTCCATTATTGAATCAGTTTCAGTTCATTTCCAAACTCACTTTTGTAGAGCCCTGATGAGAAGCAGAGGGGTGCGACCACTCATCTCAGCTGCTTAGATTCGATTATATTTGCTCCTAAAACCTGAACAACGGCTGGCTCTCTTCACCAGAAACTTGAGTAGAGAAATCGCTTAAAGATCCGATTCAGATTTCACTACTTGACAGCAGCGTTCCCTGACCCTGGTCCTCAGGGGCCACAGACCTGCATGTTTTCCAAGTGTCCCACTTTGGGGGAACACTGCTTTACGCTTTCTAATGCTGCCACTTTCCAATTATTACACATTTGAGATTTCTAACAGCTAGCCCTGATAGATAGAGAAGATTTAATGCCAACGCCTTTCGACTGTGCTGCGCCAACAGGGCTCACCTTGCTGAGGATGATCTCTGGAGCCAGGTACTCAGGAGTTCCACACAATGTCCAGGTCCTGCCTTTTACTCGTTTGGCAAAGCCAAAGTCTGTGACCTGAAGGAGGAGCAGGAGAGGTGCGACACAGATATAAAGAGATACACAAGCAGTGTTTTTTTTTTTTTTTAAACAGGACATATATGTTTTAATTTCTGTCCCTTTGCAAACAAATATATCAAAGGGTCCACATATATGTGGCAGGCTGATTACCTGGATGTATCCATGTTGGTCTATGAGCAGGTTTTCAGGCTTCAGGTCTCTGTAGATGAGGTCTAGGGAGTGAAGGTACTCAAAGGTGAGCACTATCTGAGCTGCATAAAATCTTGCATGTTGTTCACTGAAACAGAGAACCCCAAAAAATTCAGACACTGGACCAACACAGTTCTCCCATCAACGCTGGGGGGTTGTGGGGGGAATTGAGTAGAAAATCAAATGAGCTGTAAGAAGGCCACACCTGAACCTTCCAGTGCGTCGGAGGTGTGAGAACATTTCTCCACCTGGCACATATTCCATCACCATGTAGAGGTTCGAGTTGTCCTGTAAAAAAAAAAATCAACACCTCTAACTAGCAGAACCAAACTAACCTTTCGTAAACTACTGAGAAAAAGCACTGTATTGTGTGATGTGTGTGCATAGAGTCAAGCCGAGCAGCATCTTGAATTAAAAAGCAAGATCAAGGATTGTCATAAAGCTTATGCTGTGATGGTAAATGAGGCTGGGACTGTTCGCCCGTACTTATGAGGTTTGTAACATAAACAACAAGCTAGATTAAGACAATAATGACATTTACATGGACAATAGAGTCATGATTTGCTTCCAGTGAATACTCGGCCTCTTAATGGGACCTTCCTCTTTGTGTGATGCACTTTTAGGTGGGGAATTCATCTACTGACCAACAAATGTCTGCGCATCCTGCCACTGCTGGATTCTCCACTGGGATATTATTGTACATTTAGGTTTAGATAGATTTAAGATGTTTAGTGTCAAAATAAACAAAAAACTGGACAAAGGCATTGTTATTAGTCTGGTCTGTTGTTATTAGTAGAAACAAATCATCTCAAGGATGAGCCTCTGAGCTGACAATATTTTAACCAAGTAGCATTTTTTACTTTTTTAAAGTAAAATGAACTTTTTGCCTTTAGTTCATTTCAGATTTAAAAGTTATGAATCAATATTGTCACCTTGCTCCACTATGAAAAAATTCAAACTTTTGAGATGTGTAGGACTGTAATAGAACGAGATAAAAAGCTGGTTACTCTTGTAAATACCTTGAAAGCGTACACCAGTCTGACGAGGAAGGGGAAGGAGACGGCCTGTAGTATTCGCTTTTCATTTAGTGTGTGTTCTATTTGCTTCAATTTCACCACCTGAAAGCACACAGGCGAAGCAATAGCAAATTACAATCTGAAATCCGGACAGAGAGCCCATCTCCCTTGAACACCACACTCTGCTGCATCAGGGACAAAGTCTCCTCAGATGTTTGGGAGAACGTGTGGACAGTTTGACGGGGTATTTTGTGCGCTGGCTGGAAATGGAAGGGGAGGAGGTGTAGGGGGAGCCGGGGCCTCCAGCCCACAGGAGGACACCATGCAGAAACAAAGCGATGGCTGCAGTTCTTTTTCCTCACACAGTCCAACAGTTGACATTTGTCGCTTGAACTTGAGCTTTATCCTAAACGTGGTGTGAGAGGAAGACCTCTGACACCACATCTAAACGATTGAGCAGAGAGGCGGAAAACTGGTGTAAATCCTCATTTAGCAATTCTCACGGACAGTGTCATGTTACCACACAGTGATACAACAGTGGGCACTTCATTTCACATTGTGGCACAAAAAAAAGAGTGCTCATGATGAGACAAAACATGTAATACACAGGGTAAAAATTATGCTACTTTTACTTTTATGCTACTTCTAGCAAAAAAAATCTGAGTTCAGGGCTGAACCAATAAGAAGTCGATAAACAAAATGAAAGCTGCATACAGGGACGTAATGGAAAATTCTGCAGCTGTTTCATTTAACTAAAGCATAAATCAACCGTCGAATTCAAGAGAACAGAGCAGCGCTAAACCGTGGGCCTGTTAACCAGACTGAACCGCTTTCACATCAGCATTTGAAGACCGAAACTCTCAACTGAGTCCCCTCTGAGGTTTTAAGAGATAACGTGCTAGCGGTGCACGAGAGGAAGCAATCCATTTCCTTCAATGCTATTCGCAGCGTAGAACATGCGCTTACTTTTTGTTTGTCCAAGATCTTCATGGCATAAAACTGGTTGGTCGCTTTGTGTTTCACCAGCATTACTCGCCCAAACGAGCCAGTTCCCAGGGTCTTGAACCTGTCAAAGTCGTCCAGGCCCGTTGTGCACTGAGGGGAAGACAGTGTCAGCGGTGGTAATAAGGCACTCATCCAGAGCAAACCCAGTGTTTCGCAAACTTCTGGCTTTTATAAATGCTAATAATTTCTCTTTTTCTTTCTTTGCTTTTCAGCCGTTAGGATGGAGATTTTTTTCTCTTCTTTACAAGCCACAATTATGCAATCAGACAGCATTCATGTTAACAGGATCCAAGTCATCTGGACTAGAGGAAATGGATCTCATAACAAAGACTTATCAGTGACTTCGCTTACAATGTGGAATGTGAAGTGCTCAGAGGGGATAACTTACCTGTGGAGGACACTCCCATTTTCTTAAAAAATCTTCTTTGGCTTTAGCTAAGAACTCTTTCACTGCAAGAAGACAGATTTTACACACATGTATTAAAAAGATTTCACAGATTGCATTCTAACATATTCAAGGAAATAAACCAGGGCAGTTAAAAGGTGTTGGGGGGGAGGGGGGGGACAGAAAGGCAGTTCACACGTTCAGGGAAACAAATGCTGCTTTATGTCAGGCAAATGCCTTCCCAGTAAGTATTGGGAAGACAGGATTATACTTCAAACCACAGCAAAAAAATATTTCCATAACCCAGTCTAAACTACATGCCTAGGCAGGAAACTTTATTTCATAAAGTGATGCAAAGAGCTCTGTGGATTTTTACAGAATCAGCCAATTTCAACACAAGCTATTCTGCATCCCTTTCAGGAGTAGGTGCGGAAAGAGGGAAGAGGAAGTAACAATATGCAGACAGAGAAAACAAAAACAAACAAAAACAAACACACAACACACAACAAAACTAAGACCACAGGGCAGGCAACAAAAAGTGCATTGTGAAAGCCACAGCAGACACGAGATGTCCAAAGTCAAAGAGTCTCCGGAAGGCACCTAAAGTCTCACTGGTGGCCGTGTGGACAAGGCCCTGCGATAACTGACATGGCTGCCGAACTGATAACCATGATAAATAATTCAAACCCGATCCTTAACTGGAAAGATCTGCACCAAAATCAAATGTTGAAACCGATTTTTGTTTTTTTACACGTTACAAAGGAACACTCCTTAAAACCAATGCAAGTAAACAAAGTTTATTGCAACATCCAAAGACGCACATACCCCCACCACGAAAAAAAAGAAAATCAATCTCTCCTAAAACAAGGACATCTGTCAGTTTCAACAAGCGATGTGCTGTTTTTTGGTGCGTTTCGACACGCTCGGCACTTCTTCAATACACTGGGAAAACCTTTGCTCTTTGACTTGGGACTCCTCATGGAAACATGAGCATACCAAAAGTCTCTACAGTTCACCCAGGGTTTGCAGGGACATTCACCCACATGGATGGAAATGATGGAGAAGAGAAAGAGAGGAAGAAACATTTATGAAGAGCCAAAAATCAAGAACATTTGAAGATTCACAAAGCCGAACAACACTGGAGACAATGTGAGGCATCCCTACCAGCTAACACATATTAAACCAACAGAAATAACATCAAGTATTACTTATTAAAAAAAAAAATCAATTTGGAAAAGACTTTGTTCCTTTCTCGTCTTAAACAAAAGTAATTAATGATATAAACACACTGTTGTGTGCAATCTAACACAGATTTTTTTTAGCTGTTTCTCGCTCAGAAGCAAATTGGTATTTCTGTCCTGTCTTTTGATCTTAAACACAGTCCTCTTACCATCTCTCTATCCTGTCCCTACGGGGAAGATTCCATTATTACAAAAAAGCAAGAATGAACAAATAAACAAGAAGGACAAAACAAAGCCCATGTGAAAAAAAAACACAATTCATATTTACAAACCGGTACACAAAAACAGGGCTCGGATATTAAGGAGATAATAGGCGACTTGAAGCAGCACGAATGGAAAACACAGCAAAGTGTCCCTCCTAAACCGATTTCCCTAACGGGTGTGTGTGAATGAAATGGCAGGGGTCGGGAGGCTGCAAAAGAGGGTGACACTAAACAGCAAACGTTATTACATCTTTACACACCTTAAAAAGGAATCTTTCTCAGAGCATGGCCTGACCGGTACAGTTTGCGCTGACATGCCGCTTGCTTCATGTAATACGAGTCCGACATGTCAGCGTTTTAGATCAAGCTGCAACCCATCCCGCTCTGGGCTACAGACAGCGGTGGACACGCTAAAGAGTGAAAGAAATGCGCTGCACTTACTCAACTTATCCCACATGATGGTGAACTCAGAGAGGTGAGGCCCCTCGCTCTCTTGTCCCTTGTGCTCTTGTCCACTCTTAAGATATTTGTGGATTAATCGGCTGGCAAATGATTGATCCTTTCCCTGGGCCATGTCGAAGGCAACTGCCGTGATGCGTGGGCGAGAGTGCTCACAAGCAGAGTAACCGTTTTCAGACTAAACACCGGTGATACTGACTTCCTGCAAGCCGTGAAAGGCTCTGCAATGGTTGGTTAACCGCACAGAGTTAAACTTCCTGTTCAAGTGCATTGCTCTGGGCCCCAAGTAAAAATGTCCAGTTTCTGGTGCGGTGTCATTTGAAGGCGCTCGCCTCGCTCTCTTGCACAAGTGCTGATATTGTTTTGACAAAAGAGGCAAAAGATAAGCAGAGCCCCAAATGTCAAGCCAAAAACACAGCCCAGCTACGGTGAATTCAAAGCGCTGATAAGAAAACTGTTTACACCCACAGACTAACCCAAGAAGTTGCCTCCATGTCATTGTGCTCCCTGGTGGTCGTGCCGAACAATGCAGCTTTTTCTTTTATCTAAAGATCAGAGTCGCTCTTGTACCCTGACCTATTGCCGTGCTATTTTGAAAGAAATGACGGATCATAAATGGGAGTTTGGAATGTGAATTAAAAACATACACGATACCATACATTTCTTCTCTTTGGTTTTCTTTTTCTATCAGTGTGAGTGCAATGGAAACGCCTCCCAGCAGAGCATACAGGTGATCTGAGTAACAGGACTGTGAGACTGTAGGCACCAACACCAATCAGAAATCAGGTCAAGATCTGGGCTCTCCAGACAGGCCACTTGGTGTGGCACAGTTTAGTGGATTAGGCTGGTCACTACTCACAAATACGAGAATGCCTCCGGCTACTTCTTCCATGTAATTAATTAAGTAGATAAGACTCTAGAACTGCTCTTCAACAGGTGCAGTTGAACTAAAGCTGCAGTTTTATCGATGTTGTAGCAAACAGATAAATGCCAATGTAACAAAAGTGGTGATCACAACGTTTAGGTAAAAGCAACAACAGATTTGGCGTATTCTTTAACCTTAAGGGTGGACCCATATGCAGCCCTTGTTTGACAAATAAAGTAGATAAATATACAACACAGTAATTTAAAAAACAGTAGCCTGGATTAAATACAGATAGCAGCCCTTTATACAGTCACAGTCATTGTGAGCTACCTGTTGTAGGAGGTGATAAAGCCCTGTACTGCAGCTTCAGGAAGCCAATGTTTGCTGATGTTATCATTCAAGCATGTCAGAAATTAGCTCTGTGAATGAGACAGGGGTATCCTGATGACTTCAGTTAGGCAAAACTGCATCGAACAACGTGGACAGTTTTAATGTGTAGTCCAGTCAAAGACCCTCCTTTCCATTCACTGCTGTGGGGAAACCATCCTTGGGATGGCGAGGACCCCTCCGTCATATCCTCAGATGTCACTTTGAATAATGAGCTGGCAGCATCATTTATGGCACAGTTTCCAACTGAGATTAGCAGACAGACATCGTTACGACAGAACACACGTAGGTTAACTGCCCTACCAAACATGGTTCGTAAATACAGCCCATGTCACAGCACTGTCTGCTCATTTTTGTACAGGAACTGTAAAAAGATGCTATCCGCTTATCATTTCGATACACAATCTAATAACGGGCAACGGGTTATATTAAACAGTCATAAGCCAAGTAGGATGGGCTCAAGGTACTCACCGCTTTCTTGTTCATTGCCTTTCTTGGCAGTTGCTGCGTTTCCCATCGTAGGAAGACAGGGCGATCCACAGCTGGCTAGGGGCGATGATGGTGGCCGTTAGCTAACAGGGTCCTCCGTTAGCTAGCTAACAAATTTCTGCTTGTACTAGCTGGCTGGCTAAAAACGACATCAATATCTTCTCTTCGTGGACTGAACCTCGTCGTGCTCTGCTGACCGCCTCGCTGCTCTTTATTTACAGGGCCCTTTGTCGTTCATGTATGCCTCCGCTGGAATGACAACATGATCCAGACTTTTCACCTCTGCCTGCTGTCGTTCTGTGCTGCGTTCACGTATGTGGGAATACCCATGGACGGACTTAACGGGTGAAAGGCTGCCTTCCTGGAACCGTCGAAAATAGCAAACACAAACAAACATTACATTTTGTTTTGAGAAAGGTTGCTACTTCGGTTTCACTTGACCGGCTTTGTACGCGCACTGAAATCTTTATAGTTGTCTTTTAATGTGGATCTATCTATGCTGTCTTTAAAAGTGTTGACTTAAAAACAACCCACTATTGCACTCCTTTATGTGCATATCCTAATATTTTCTATACAAGAAGCTAACATTAAAAGCAGGTTGTTGCTTCCATTATTTGCTATTTTTCTGATTACACGAAAGAATATGATTAAATATACATTTAGGATGTTATTTCAAGTTTGATCTATTATGACTGTAGCCAAATGGATGGATGTGAAGTATATCAGAAAGCTGATACCTATAGCCTATCATAACTATTCCTGATGCTGATTAGCACAGAATCCTTGTTACTGTTACGCATACATCTTTATCAGCATTGTGACAATTGTAATGCAACTCACACAGCTTTATCTGTCTTAATTTCGTCACCAAATGATGAAACACATCTGTCATGACAGACTAAGATCATGTCACCCTTGTGGGTGCTATGTTGTTTTCTTATCCCCCCTTTTGTTATTATTTCTATTGAATAATATCTGATTTCGATCATCACTGATATATCCATCAGCACTAAAAGGATGACTAAAGAACACTTTTTTAGTGACAATAAATCAAATGTGATTAAATTACAATAATTTGTGTTTCTTCGGTGTGTTAGTGTGCATGCATTGTACACATCATAATATGTAGGTCTTTTTATGACAGCTCTTCATTGGATATTTTCCATATTTTAAATGATAAAAATAAATTATTTCCCCCAGGCCATATACTGTAGTTTATTTTTTTGCTCTGGTCTTCGACACACGACATAAGTGATTTGATCCTAGTATGGGTAATTCCGGATGAAAAACTGCTGTTCAACAGTTCTAAAGAAAAAAAAACATGGAGCTAAGAAAACCGTAGTGACTTTCAATCCTGAACGTTTAAAAATGTGTTTTGGAGATGTAAAACTAAATCTGGATTCAATGAAAGAATATATTATTTACAGAAAACACTCATTTAAATCTTTTCAAAGACTTTACAAAAAAGGTTTGATCTCGGGAGTTTGAAACTCTTGAGAAAAAATGTAATAATCATAATGGATTTGGAACAAAATATATATAATTTAGTTAAATGATTAATTGATTGTTAAGCACATTGACGAATGGAATGGCAGGTTATTGACCTCTGAGCAGGACGCGCCCATTAGCAGGAGGGCTGCTTTTTAGCACCATGGTCAGCGACATAGTTGCTAGGTAGCTGCTCTGTTTGTATAAGCAACGCTCAGTAGCGTGTGTGAAATACTGCCCTTAATGTGCTCTAACATAACTCACACTTCGAATAAGACATGTGTTTCCACTTACGACTAGTTAACCGATTAACACAAGTTGTGCCTACCTTAACACATAAAGATAAAAAATACGATAAATGTCACGCTGGTGCTAATTGCAGACTGAAAGTTCAGCACTTCACTCAGGTCCCCCTCTTACGTGAATGGTTTTGCCCATGGACTCGCTCCAGCACTCAGCACACAAGAGGACTACAATGTACAGATTCCCCCCCAAGTGCCCCCCCACCCCCTCCTTGTCTTTCAGTCAATGTCAGTTTTCAGTAATAACGGCCAAACACACCATAAATATGGAAATCTGTGGGCTGTTCCCGTCGGAGTGAACGGTTCTGTCAAATCGGAGTCGATGTCACCGGACGGCAGCGGTGTCATCCGACCGAGTGCACTGCCTGCGCCTGGAATAAGTAAGGCACCGTTACTTCATTCGAGCAGTCTTTGCTAGGTAGCACGGCTAAGCTAAGTCTTAGCAACCAATGCTTCTTATGTTCGTTTTTAATCATCACACGGCGTCACTCTGGGGATTTGGCGTCTTAATTGGTGCAGCAACGTGAAACGAAATCGCTCTCCTTTGTTGTCAAGCACTATTGTACTTTCTTTTCCCCTCCTTTACGCTGGAAGTTAACTGGTTGCCCTCAGTGCCAGATTGCTTCCTTGTTTGTTTCTTCCACCTGACCAGTGCAAGTGGCTAGCATCCCAGCGTTAGCAAGTATCTGCTAGCAACCAATTCAGTGCAGCAACACACCTGCTACGGCTTCCGAGTAATTATGTTTTGTGAGCCCAAGCACTTTTCTCCAGGAAGCTCCATCACTAAGATATTACAGGTTGGATTAAAGGAGTCTGGTATTCGCTAACCCTGAAAGAAAAAAAAAAGGCAGGATATCCACGGGGGGATGGCCTACAATCCATCCGGTGATCTGGAAGATACCATATTGACTGCTTTGCTGTGACAGGTCCCGGTGCTGTTCTTTTTTTGTGCAGTCTCTTGGCTGATTGTAGTTTTACAATAAACCTCAATGAGATTGACTCTTGCATGTCAGCCAATTGTTCACGTTTAGCAGAGCTTGGCCAATTTAATGACAGATGTGGTGTTTGCAGGTTTGATTTGGGCCTGCTTGAAGCCCCATCATGCCACTTAAAGAGCACATGCTGACAGAGCATCCTGGAGATGTCCATCCCCCGATAGAGCAGATGGATTATATAATAACAGTTTAACACATGAGTTCTGGCTGGCATCCTTACTCTTGGCCACAACCCAGAGATACGGCTTAAGATGGATATGATACACATAATCTTTCCATTTCATTGAAGCAAGTGCACTGATTGCATGTTAGATTTGAGAATAGCTGCTAAGTCAGTGTGCATTTATAAAATGTTCACCAATGTGTTGGTGTGTTACAGTACCCTGTGGGCTGGTAGCTCCCACACTTGTTCTTCATTTTATCTGGAAGACAGCACAAAGCCAGCGTTGGGTCAGTGGTTAGGGCTAATTTTAGAACCAATGGCAATTCAAAACCAACTCTTTTTCTGAGAGATCTCTCCACAAATTCAGCTATCAACTATCAAAACAATGTGGTGACTGTGGTGTTATAGATCTTTAAAGAAATTGTATATCTTTTCTTTTTAGAAAAATAAATCAATCTATAAATAGATGTTGTAATTGCGCCCCATAGGTCCAGGTATCTGAGTGTCTCCTTTGAATGCTTATTAAAGAGGTCTGAGCTTGATGAAATGGCCAATGCTGTATGTACGGAACAGAATCTTGATCTGTCACAAGTTCTAAAGGCAAACTGGTGTTTCCTTAAGCTTTTCCATTGACGGTGTATTTGATGACTGCTCTGAAGCGGAAGTTTCAAGTGAGACGGCAAAACATAAAACAAAGCCCCTCGGGGATGCACAACTGTTGTTAAAGGGCCCTGAGTAATTGGTGTGACACTATCTGTCATCACAGAACAAAGTCTGCTGGTTAGCTCAGCTTTTTTCCTTTCACACACAGTCTTAAAAGCTATTTGCGCTGTCTTCATGCATTTGGTTTTGATGTTAAAAGGATAACTGGAAGTGCCACTGTTTGTTACCTGTTAGCGGGGGGGGGGGGGGGG